AAACAAAGCTTAGTGTAGTAATACAAACAACTAAATAACCGGTTATTTACTTCGCATAACTGCATTTCATTGTGATTCCAATGATTACAATGATAATTAAAATTTGTTAATCAACATGAATGGACGAATTTGAACCACGTTTCAACGTTTAATGGAGTCGTTTATTATGCATTTGATATTACGCGTCATTTAATCGTTTGCTTACTTGAATAATGTGTATTTCCGCCCTACAGTTACATCCTTCAAAACTGACAATGCGATTATAGGGAAAACCCAAATAACACAAAAACGTTTTATGTGCGTCCGGAGGGCGTACATTCCGAACGTTCAGTACATTCGGAGGATGTCCCGAAAAGGTACATAAGTCCCCGTTAAGTCCTCGTTCGAATTTTGAAATGTCTTAGGAAGGTCCTATTTATAAAGTGGAACGTCCTGCGGACGTCCTGTGTCAACATTCTTAGAACGTTTTTCGAATTTGTGAAAGTAACATTCTCTGTACATTTTGGTAACGTTTAAAGAGTTTTTAGAAACGCTATGGTAATGTCTTAAAAGACGTATAAGAAACGTTTTCCAAATGTTTAAAATTAAAGTTAGATTTCATTCTGTGCAAGGTGATAGAAGTTAGGTTAGGTTGGTTAGTGTTTAATAAATAAAAGATTAAGTTTCCTGCAACTTCCGCACTTATTAGAAATTAGATGAAGTTAGTTCCTGTTAATAAATAAACGGTTAAATTTCTTATAAAGAATTATAATGAAAATATATATCTGGGGGTTATGATCTGTGTGTACATTGTGTTTATTTTTATTTTCAAAACAAAATACTGATTCTATTTTGGGTAGATACAGTTTAAAAGAACCACTTACTCAAAGCAAAGTACTGACTCTGTGTTGGTTAGAAACAGTTTAAGAAAACTTTCTGAAGTTTTCTGAAGTTACTGCATAAAACCACTAGTGTCGTTACACTTCTCTATTGATCCTCTAAAGTATGACACCTTGCTTATGGAGTTTCATCACCTTGTGTGGTATGACATTGAGCCAAAATTACTAAACGAAACCATCCGAAATTTAAATCCAACGTACATTCGTAAGACTTAAGAAACGGACAGTCCTAGAACATGCGAAATTTAAGTCTTGAGAACATCCGTATAACATTCCAGACGGACGTTTCTAGAACATTTGAAATTTAAGTCTTAAGAACATCAGTAAGACTTCCGGGACGAACGTCTCTAGAACAACCTAAATTTAGGCTTTATGAACATCCTAGGGATGTTCAAGTGGACGTAGGACATTCGGATATAAACTGGACATGAAACAGACGTCTGTTAGATGTACAGTACTATTTGGGAAGAGGACACGATACTACAATCATTTCATTAGTTCCATATACTCGATTTGCCATACGTAAAGATAATCCAAAATATGAAGTTATAGACAAAAATTATATTGTGTTATACATTCATGTTGAAAAAAATAATGACGAAGCTAAACGAATGGTCCTAAAATCTCGTTCAAATAATTATTTCTGTTACTCATCTTCTATGCAATAAACATCCACCTTGCAAAATTACTTTACTTCTAATCGTTTTATTGTGTACATTCATAAAGTGGAAAACAAATTTAGGAATTTCTTTCGTTTCTTAAAGGGACTAGGCAGTCAGATTTTCTAAAAAATGTAACTTTGGTCCGTATCTCCCGGTACCATCTGTTGTATCGATAGTTTCCTATTTTCTCTCTTCTCTCTTCTTCCTGTTTCCTTCTGTCTTCCTTTTCTATTTTTTCATATCCTTGAATGTCTCCTCTTTGTCTCCTTTCCTCTTCATTTCATTCCTCCTACAATTTTGTCATTCTTGAATTCTTTCCTCTCTTTATCCCATTTTGTCATCTCTCCCACTTCCTCTATTTCTCTTTCTATTATTTCCTTCCAACATATCCTTCCGAATTCGCTTCCTTCTTCTCTGCTTAACTTTCCTTCATACCTCCACACTCTTCTTCACGCCCACGTCCTCAGTTTTTCTTTTTTTGTTTCCACTCTTACCATATGTCCAGGTGTTCTCCAATCTACTTCCAGCGTCCACCTTAGATATCTTTCCAGAGTTTTCTCAATCTCCTCCCTTTCCTTCCATCCCCATATCTCCGTTTCGTGACCCAACACCGTTCATACTAAAGTGTCGAAAAGCATACTTTCCTCTCCCAATTTTTCCCAAATTTTCATTACCCTTTTCCCCATTTCCTCCGTTTCTTTTCTTCATTTTTCCTCCCATTTTTTCATTTCCGCTCTTAGTTTCCCTATATCCTCTCCATTGTACCTTGACTTCCTTTAAGTCTGTTCCAATTTCTTCTCTCATTTCTTTTATTAATTTCGTCAATATTCTGTCCTCGTTTCCTTCCTTTTTCTCCGGAAATTGAATTTTGAATTTTTCTACTTGTTTGAAAGATCCATTCCCCCTCTTTGCCTTCTCCCTGTCTCTCTTCATCCTTCTTTTTTTTTTCTCTTCCATAAATCAGTTATTTTCCTCATGCTTCCTTCACTGGCGCTCCTATCTCTCATTAAACTATCGTATAACTATCATTAACGTTCGTTTTCTTATCTCTCTTTCGATCCATCTCTTCTTCTTTTTCTTTTTCCCTTTTCTTCTTCACCTCCCCTTCATTCTCTTTCACTATTTGCTATTCCATCCTTCTCTCCTTTACTTTTCTTTTCCTTTTTACAGTAGACATTCGATTCCTGCACGAGTCGGGGCTGTAAAGGGTTAAATTTCCAAGAACCGTGCAAGAATTGACGACCAGTTACCTGAGCGCTTTCCCCAACACTTGACCACTCAGTTGTTGCGACGCAGCTGCATTGTCACGAGCCAGATCAAATTATATCGTATTTTGTCTTGTTTTAATCAGAAAAATATCGCAAATACGTTTAACAACCACTTCGTTGGAAAAAAGAAAATAAAAAATATCCATGGTTTCATTAATGATGTCACTACGATATGCAGGTGTTGCATCTTTTTCAGGCTTCTGCGCAGGAAGCTGTCGGCGCATGAATGAGCACCGAACGAACGTTGAAGATGCGAATGTTTGTTGATATGGACGGTGACCCGTGTTAGAGGTGAGCATTCGTCGCCTGCTCAGCCCGATCCAATTGTTGTCGGTCCATCAATTTCAACATTCACCATTCACATCGACAACACACATTCCACCTTGCATCCGATAGCGTACTCACTTTGACGTACCGCCAACGCAGGAAACGGCTCCAGATGCTCGTCGAACGCTCGGTTCGTGCTCGCTTTGCGGTCCACATAAGTGCATATTCGCTTCTTCGGCGTGCATCCGGCTCTTATTCAGGTACGCGGCTTTACATTGTATGCTTTATTGGTTACAGGGGCACCCGCCAACGGTGGGGATGAACACCGGGTGCTTATTCTGTAGATCGTTTCGGGTACTAATCCAAGTTTCATTGTTTGTGGTGTCCAAGTTTGAACTGACAAGGAGTGTATTTTAGGTGTCCGCCTCCGATTGCTTTGGTTTTCGGATATGTTTTAGAGGACCGAAAAATAAGAGATACGTATTTTTTTATAGCGGCCCGTTTTCATATTTAGGGGGTGAAACCACCCCTCAAAGTTTCGACCCGGAAGTACTATCTCGAAAACCAGAGGAGATACATGAAAACTTCTAATGGACGAGGTCTGCGGTTTTTTATGTAGAATAATATGGTGCTAACAAATTGTCCAAAATATAATTTGTTTATAACAACAAAATTTCGGATAGAAATTTCGAGTGGTGGTTTCACCCCTTGAAGTCGCGTCTCAGCCGATAAAAAAAATACGTGTCCTTTATTTTTGACTGCTTAACAGACATACGAAGTTTCATCAAAATCGGAGGGGGACACTTCCGTGCCTACCCTTGTGAGATATACACGTAGTTCCCTCCAAAAACGTTCTCAAAATGATATTTTTTTGTTATAAACAAATTGTATTTTTGACAATTTGTTAACACCAGTTTATTGTACATAAAAAACCATGAAAGCCACCAATTGAAAGTTTTCATGTATCTCCTCTGGTTTTCGAGATAGTACTTCCGGGTCGAAACTTTGAGGGGTGGTTTCACCCCCTAAATATGAAAACGGGCCGCTAATAAAAAATACGTATCTCTTATTTTTCGGTCCTCTAAAACATATCCGAAAACCAAAGCAATCGGAGGCGGACACCTAAAATGCACTCCTTGTGAGAGCCTTGGTTGCCTGCCATTGAAGTGATGTACCAGTATATGTGCGTGTGGATTATCCGTTGTATTAGTGTGTGTATTCGTACGAAAGTCGTTAAATGTGAATCTAAGAAACCCGTGATTCCACGTAATACTTGTTTTGTATCCTCTTTGTCCCTAATAAATAACTTCTCACTACCAATCTAACACCACATACAGGGTGATTCTCTCGCTACGCAAATCGAAGAAGGTGCTGCTCTGAAGAACCGCCGTGTCAGAGCGTTTGTGTGTGGTCCCGGGGCGTCAACAACAATGAGGAGTGATCGGCAGATCACACGAGCCGACGCGGCGCAGCAGTTCTTTAGAGAGGCACAGTTTTTGATTTGCGCAACGAGAGGATCACCCTGTATATATGTATATTATCAAAAACTAATTTTTGTATACATAGTTTATAGTATTAGTAAACGATGCCGAAGCGTACTAGTCACAATTTGTGTTCACTTCCTTGTAATTAATTCCCAAAGAAAAGTTACACTTTTACCAAATCTGACTGCCTAATCTCCTTAAGTATCTCGTTAAATACGGAAGTCTGTGCATCTGATGAAAGTTTTGTCTTTTATAGTGTATCACAAAACCCTATAGGCTATAAATACACAAAGTACACAGACTAAATATATATACAACATTAAACTTCGGTTCTTCTGGACTGGTCATACGAAAAACGGTTTATCCAACGGATTTGTCTCCATATCAGTTCGAATATTCGACTACTGTAAATAGGTTAAGGAGCATTAAAGTATCACTCACTTGAGTGGGGTCCATGCGTAGGTGCGTCGGGCGCAGGGGGTACCAATCCAGCAATGCTATACAGCGTTTGTCCGCTTCCATATTTGTGACCACCGCAGTGACAGGGTGTTGTAGGGGTAGGCAAACCCTCGCTACCCCTGATGGTACCGCCGACCACCGAGATCTCATCGAGCTCGTGCCCGCTGTCGTAATGGCACAATCTGGTCGCGCTGGTGCTGGCACCACCGCCACCGCCGCCACTTCCTTCCCCGCCACCAACACCACCGTTGCCTCTACCACCTCCACTGCGGCCCCTAAGCGACTGCACCAGCCGCTTGGCGCTCGAAGACATTCCACGGAGGTGATCCAGCCTTCCGAACTTCTCTGCTTCCTATCTTTCCCGAAGCCACCCGTGTACGGCTCCGAAGATATCCACCTGCGATGTACAATTCAGTTTACATACAAGGGTACAGATATCAGGGATCCTAGAAAATATTCCGTTATCGAAAATTAAAAAGAAGCACTGGAGTAACCCTTTGTGATCCGCCGGCGCTTATGTAGCTGCCGCACAGTGGGGTATTTGGACGGTGTCTGCACTCTCAGAAGCAAAATTGTCCTAACGTAGGTAATTCTACAGATATTTGAAACATTTTAATTATAATTACTTTCAATTTAATGCAGTTAAAACGCTTTGACAAAAATAAATCTTTAATCTATCGTAAAGCCAATCTCAGGATGCGTTACTATATTGGTTTTTACGTCATTATAGAGAGGAAGGTTCAACCTTTAGAACAAAAAAAAGGAAGCTGCCGCATGGTGTAAATTCATAATATTTATTGTTTTCGAGTATATTGTATACCCGGACGACGTGCATGTCATTCGCTTTCCTTTAGAGTTTGAAGATTGTATATAACAATCATTGTTACTTTTAAGGGTATGGAAAGAAAGATAGAGAGAGAGAGGGGGGGGGTGAGAGGGAGCGAGAGCAGGAGACTAGTGGCAAGCTTGATTCTAGATTGTG